TGAATATGATTTCCCATGATTACTTAGATGGTAATGGATCTCTATGTGAGTCGTTATAACCATGCATAATAATGACTAATTCGCCTGTCTTGGCATTTTATCGAATGTCGGTTTTGAATTAAGATTTTGTCACCCTAGACTGGCCGAGTCTAACTGTAGCGAACGGCTCATGTGTGGGGGAGTCACCCCCGTATAGATCTATACACAAATTCTCGCTCTCCCTCCAGGAGACTCTGATTATAACTACAGACTACGACCGATACTTATTGGTGCCACTCGTTATTTCTCACTAAATCCAAATGAAATTGAATAACATTGTTTTACAACTCGATTTATGTTTACGTGAATATAAGGTAAGCCTAACAGACAAAAAAAGAGGACAACGGAGGCCCACTAACTTTGTATGTTATTACAGGTTGTCGAGTATGCTACGGACACGTTATAGCCCATTAAGCATATGATGAATGTTTAGGACCATATTAGCAATGCAAATGGGCCACTAAGGCCCAATAGCATGTCGAAGCTAATAAAGGCCCGTCGGGCATGTAATTGGGTCACCAAGGCCCAATATACATGTTTTGTTTATATCGGGCCCAATAATCGATATTGGACCCACTCCTTGAATGGTTTATCTGTTTTGTCGTTAAATTTTAGTATAGGATTTAGAATACACTTAGTGTTTACTTTTTGGCGTTAAAATACTCAGCGTTGTTTATAACGATATTTTTAGTTTTTATAAAAATACCATTTTTAAACCTTCTTGTTGTAAAATTTTATATCTTTGATCAAATTCTTTTAGAATTTACATATTTGGCTCAAAATGTTTATTTGATCATTTCAGTCCCTTTTTCATATAAAATTTACATTTTCAGCTCTTAATGGTACAAAATGATATTTTAGTCCATTAGATTATTTAATTTGGCATTTTCAGCCCAAATAAGATCTTAAATTATAATTTCATCCCAAAATACCACTTTTGACGTTTTCAGCCCTTATTTGCTAAAAATTTACATTTTTGGCCCAAAATCTAAAAACTTTGCATTATTAGTCCAATTTAGCGAAAAATGTCATTTTCAGCCCTTGAACTTAATTCATTCACGTATTTGACTTTGTACTTTGATAACTTTACAATTTTAGTCCCAAACTTCCATATTTTCGCAAATTTGGGCCCAAAAACTGTTGGGGCCCAAATATAAGCCCAATAAGCAAAAAGTTATGTTTTTGGTCCTTTGAGAAGTTTTATTTCCATAAAAATCATATTTTATATAGATATATACCATATTATCCTTGTAAAATCGAAAATGTCATCTTTTAACCAAATCTTTGTTATTTTTGCAAAAATGACACCTATGACAATCTTGGCCTTGTTTTTCACCTTTTAAACATAAAGATTCTTAGATCTTTGAAATATGTTGTTTATTTTGTTATTATTCATGTATCCTTCACACTTTAGCCATAGATTTCGAGATATAGCAAGTAATATCATATTTTTACAGCACAAACCAAAGAAATCACATATAACAAGCATACACACATAGATCAACACATAATACTTGTATTCTCCCCCAAAAACAAATAAAAACCAAAAACAAGGGGGTATGAACTCACCTTGGGGTTTGTTGGTTCGGTTTTGAGGAGTATGTGGAGAGATTTTTGGTCCTAGCTACAACTTGGAGGTACTTTCGAACTTAGAGGAGTTCTAGGAAGTTAGATCATGAAACAAAGCTATGTAAGAAGGAGTTTTAGTAATAAGTTGGAAGTAGATGTTTGTGTTTGATACCAATTTACCAAAGGCTGAAGAAAACTTGATGAAGATCCTTAAAAACCCAAGCAACTTCGAGATTTTGAGGGAAGAAGGAAGATGTTCTTGAGAGAATTTGGAAATTGTTTGAAAGTGAAATTTTGGTGTGGATGTGTGGTGCTCTCGGTCGAGGATAAGAAGAGAGGAGAGAGAAGGAGATGTGATGTTCACCTAGATGCATGAGACATCATGCCTTGATATCCTTTGGATAAAAATGATGTGTCAAGACTTAATAATCCCCATTAATCCTCCATAAACCCCCTTTTTTTAACTTGGGCCGAAATGGACCAAAGAAAGAAGGAATGAGTTAGTTTGGCCCACTTCAATTCTTGGTTCGAGATCATGAGGTTTATAGAAAAATTTTCGGCCCATTGGGCCTTTAGGGTAGTTCACGGGCCAAATTGTATAAAAGAATGGGTTTTATGGCCCATTAAAGTTAATTGAGTCAATTATGGCCCAATAAGGCTTATTGGAGTAGTTTATTCCATTTTAGGCCCAATATGGCCCAAAATGTTAAGTCTCATGAAAGTGGGTTGAATTAGAGCCCAATTAAGAGTTCTAAGCCCAAACTAGTCAAATTGGAGACTTATTGGTCCATTAGGCCCAATAAGAAAATCCTAGTCCATATTGGACTTAAACCGGGATTTTTAGGGTTTCCAATCTTTTGTTGACTATTTGAAGTGTTTGTATAGAGTGTTTGATGGAATTTTGGTGTCATTGAATGAACATCATGCATGTTTTCAAATTTTTGGTTACAAATGTTATCATCATTATTGTTACAAAAGCATAGAATTCCCAGTTGTGACACCCAAGTCTTTGATGCCAGGTTTGTGAAGAAGCGCGAACGGCAGAGAACGTAATTTTTGGAAGTGATTGAAGCTTGAGTAGAGGAATTGAGTAGAGTCCACCATTACTTGGACCCGTGAGGAGGGTGCGGTGTGTAGCTGTGTCCATAATGACAAAAAAAGAAGAGTGGAATTCAAAATAGACATCATTGTCTAAACAAAATTTTTGAACAGAAAGAAGGTTTCGTTTGATATCAAGAACATGAAGAATATGTGTAAGAGAGAAGACTTTATTTGGTGAGTAAAGTTTAGAAGAGCCTATGTGAAGGATGGGTAAACCCTTACCATTGCCAACATGGAGATTATCCTCGCCATAGTAAGGCTCGACATTGTCAAAACCATAGAAATCATGTGCCACATGGTGGTTTGATCCTGTGTCGGGGAGCCATGATGTGGATCTTTGTGAGCGATAGTCTGCATCGTTAGCTGATGGTGGTGCTCTTCTGAGTGTGGCAGGGTCGCGATTTGGGCACTGAGACGGAACATGTCCTATTATGCACCTGTTACATGTACCAAAAACGGTGTTTTGATTAGAGGCCCAAGAAAATTGACTACGATTACCTCCCCCTTGATTTATGTTGTTGAAATCTCCTTGAGTGCGATTAAAGTTGCCTCGTCCTCTTCTGTAATTCTGACCTCGTCCATGAGGATTACCAGACCTGTTAGTGTAAAATGCTTGAGCACTTTGGTTGTTGGTTGGCTGAAGTTGAACGCCAAGCTGAGAGAGAAGCTGTAGTAAAGCCTGCAATTGATCTGGTGAGGAAGTAAGAGAGACAGGTGGGGCTGTTATGTTGCGGCTTGTTGTTGTAGCCATGAAGGCTTAAACGGATGAGACCTCAGGTGTTGATTTTCGGACCATATAATCGTGATCAGACAGAAGGCCATGTAATTCGGAGAAAGATGTAGGAGTTTGTCGAGTCAAGATGGTTGATTTGAGACCATTATACTCTTCCCTAAGTCCGGGCATAATAAGCATGACTAAGTCCTTTTCTTTTACAGGTTCACCGATGTTAGCAAGAGCATCAGCATAGGCTTGAGCCCGGTTCAGATAGGCAGGGGAGGATTCATCAGCTTTCATCTCAAGTTTCAGAAGTTGGGTCTTTAGAGTGTATTCCCTAGAAGATGTGTGCGGAGCGTAGGCACGCTCGAGGGACAACCACAGATCTCGAGAAGTAGCCCTCTGTACGTGTTGGAATGAGGCTTCAGAGACAGTCGAAAGAATCAACATACGTACATGAGCATCATTGGCGACCCATGCTTGGTATTGAGGGTTGGGTTGTGTGGTTTGTGTAACAGATGAAGTGTCAATTTCTTTCCCAGTGGTTGAGGTTTGGACTGAGATGGTAGCAGGTGGACATGGGATTGTGCCGTCAACATAGCCAAACATGGCATTTGTAACCAGAAACGGTTGAAGCATGGTTTTCCAATAGTCATAGTTTGTAGGAGATAAAGTAAGCCCAAACTTGTGGGAGTTATGAGCAGTCTTTTCAATTGTAGAAAACGCTGTAATAGGATCCATGGAGGAAAGGAAAAAAAAAAGGAAAAAAGAGGTAGGGTAGGATTACGAGATGTGCTAACCAGAGAGATGGGACAATCTTTGTTCGATGCATGTTTCTTGTGCGATGGAGCTTTTTTTTGGTGGTAGGGTTAGGTTTGTTTTGATCGGCTCTGATACCAAGTTAATCTTGGTAAATAGAATTGTATTATGAATTAATGTTAATCACGTATTACATCAGGTAGATATATAATTGAGACATTTACACTCTAGTCCCTATACTAACAATGATTACAAATATTGTCTAATATGTTGAATAAAGGATAAATTGCAGACTTGTTTAAAGTATATTGTTATTTCAGGCAATTGGCCATTGAATAATCGTTTCCAAGACCAAACAATTGAAACCAATGTCAACTAGCACCGGTTTTATGTCTATTTCTGAACCGAAACGAACCGACCGGTTTTAAAAAATAAATAAATAAATAAAACCAATTAAATTAAACCGTTTAAAACCCGGTTGAACTAGTTAAATTGAAATAAAACACTAGTTAAATTGAATAAAAACACAAAGATAAGACATTTTGCATAAGAAACTTTGGAAGTTTTTAACATACATTTAGATTTCTTTTATCACTGTGTGCATCTTTTGTTTTGATATCAGTTTCAGATATATTCTTTGCAATTCACAAAGTGAATACGAGAACCATTTCAATATGAAATAATCAAATAACATTTGGCTTGAATTCTAATGCTCATGTTGGCCAACTTTGTACTCTAAAAATAACAAAATACTCCTCCCTATTGGATATTTGATAAGTTTTTTTTATAGCAGTTCAATAAAAAAAAACATGAAAATTCTAGAATTCGTTTGACCCATTGATAGGAATATGGGTAAAAAAAAGTAATGTAAGCGTCGACAAATAGTGAAGTGATATTAAAAAAATCTAGGTGTCTCCAATAAAAAAGAACAAGAAGATAAATACAGGACATGAAACGAATCAAACAAGAAAAAGTACAAAAATAGAGGAGAAAAACCACAACTGCACACTTTTAATTAGCCACGTGGTGTGATCTTAAAGAATACACGTAGCCACATCTTTGTTTCATCAGTAATTCAATTTTTCTAAACTTCATACGGGTTTTTGTGCTCAAACTCATCACTGCATTAAAGTAAGAACAATGAATTAGCATAAAACGTGCAACTTACAAAATGGAGAATCTACCCAGGTACAATTTCCTATGCATGGGGTACAAGCACTGTGGGGCGCATGTATTCAAAAATTGAAACATACATACATGAATGTACATATTAGTAACTGGATACGTTATAACATTTATATACATTTTCATTTTCCTATAACTTATTACTTTTAAAATTTATATAAAAAAAAAAACTAAGTATTATAAACTAAAAACTGGAATTTAATAAAGAGAAATGAAATTAAAAGAATTTTAAAAATTACAAAAAAAAAATGCATCATTTTTATTAACCATTATAAATTTATATATGTAAATCTCATTCAATAATTATACATTAAAAAAAATTAAAAGGTGACTACAATGATTTTGGAAACGGTCAAAGAAAAAGACAAAAAAGTTGAAAAAAAGACAACGGCTTGAATTAAATAATGAAGGGAAAAAAAAGACACTTTGAAAATTTTGCAAGTAATAAATTAATAAATTACCTTCTTTTTACTGTTTACATTTTCTTCATCGTCATCCTCATCCTCATCATCATCATCATCTTCAACATCATCTTCAACATCATCGTCGTTTTCGTCGTCATCATCATCATCATCATCATCATCATCATCATCATCATCATCATCATCATCATCATCCTCAAATTCATCATTCTGGGCAGCCTCACCAGTAAACCAAGAGACAGCATGAGGAATGATTTTGTCTCGAATTGTTGACCTGGAAAATACAAAATTTAGTAACATTTAAAGTCTCTGTGGTGTTTAAATGCTTCAAAATAAACATAAGAAAGAATTTAAATCTCAAATGTATGGAACAAACAATTTGGTTTCATATATTTAAGCAATCAGTTTAACCACACCCAAAATCAGCTATTTTTTTATAAATAGAAACAAAGCGCAGAATACAAATCTAAGGTGTTTGTTATTTTAACTGAATGATTTTTTCTTTGTTAGTGTTGTAAGGATAAATTGTTGAGTGAGTAAATGATGTCTATCTGGAGTATGTATTGTATGAACAAAGATTTTTAATAAAATAACAGAATGAATTGCCTTAATGAGAGTAAATGACCATTTTGCCCTTCTATGTAAGGGTAAGGAATTAAAAAGTATTGAGGAGGGTTAAAGGTAAAGTAGTAAAAAGTAAGTTATATATGATTGTTTCTTTTCGACTTTATAATGAAAGTCAAAGAAAGAAGGCTTTCCTCATTAAGTCATCACTTATTACAGATTTTCCCTCATTTATTTTTCCTTCCACTTTCCCAATTGTGTTGTTTCATTTTCTGAAATATTTTTAATACAAAATTTGATGGAAAAAAAAAAAGAGAAACAGGAAAATAAATTCATATTCACTCAAGTTGATCAATCTGAAGTTTTTTTTTTTTTTTTTTTTTTTTTTTCTGGCAAATAAAAGAAGAAAATGCATATCTCCAATGAATTTGTCATTTGAATTTCATTAAATTATAGAGTTGCACATTAATGAGTACGTACCCAATGTCATAATCATGTTCCATCTGATTCTGAAGCTGTTCAGCCTGTTTACACAGTATGGAGGAGAATCATAATACATAAAAAAACAGAAGGGAGTTAAAGGCTTATATTATATAGAGCTTTTATAACAAATATTTAAAAATAATAATGTTGTTATTTCTTGTTATTAACCCTATCAGTTTTGAGTTTTATGTTTTTGGCAATAAAAAGCAAAGTACAATTGTCCTCCCCAAAGGCAGGCACAACTAAATTCATTCCTTCATACTTTGACTTTAAAATCAAACATGTTACTTTTCAACTTCAATTTGCATATAACACTTTTCAAGCACAAACTACATATTTTATGAGCTATGATAAGTATTTACCAATAATATTATGCTGATGTGACATTTGTGGCAATGTTTATATCGTTTTGCATTCAGGAAATCAACTTTTTACCCTTTTTGTTAAAAGAATATTGTATGTATAAAGTACAGAATGGATAAATGATGTCTGGAGAAGTATGTATGAACAGAGAATGTTTCTTTTTTGGACTAAGTGGACCATCTGAATTAGAGTAAATGACCATTTTACCCTTCTGTTTAAGAAAGTACTGTGTGGTCAATTGATAAATAATGTTTTTCTACAGTAAGTATATATGAACAAAGACTACTTTTTGGACTTAAAGGGACTGTCAGAATGAGAATACATGACCATTTTGCTCTTCTGTTTAAGTAAAGTAGTGCTAAACTTACTGTTTAAATGACCATTTCACCCTTCTGTATAAAAAAGTATCATACAGAGATAATGTGGTAACTGGATAAATGATGTGTGTCTGGGGTTAATATTTATGGCCAAAGACTTTCTTTTTTCCACTAAAATGACCATTTTACCCTTCTCTTTAAGAAAAAAAAATAAAAAAAGCAGAGCTAAACATACCGTATCCTCATCCATGTCGTCTTCATCATCAGGGATTTGTGGAGGATTGAAAAAGTTGAAGAAGCTTTCACAATCTTCAGTTTTTGTAATTGGTGGCTTTGGGCTTCTAGAACCCTTCTTAGCTTTCTTCCTCAGAACCTTTTGGGTCAAATTTTTCCCTGGATACCATTCGATCTTAGTCCTACAATTTTCCATGAAACAATATTTAATTGCAAAGCAGAAACTTATATAAAAAAAATTGAAACTTAAAAAAAGAGCATATAATATTAATACCCAATTGCTTTCTCTAAAATATGTTCTTCCTCGTTGATCATCTCATATGTTTTAGACAACACAGAGTTCTTAAAATAAGGATTAGGATCAAAAAAGAGTTCAAGCTTAAAACCCTTGGCACCAGTAATTCGAGACCACTTAACATCTTTTAGATACTGGAGAGCTCCTTCATCAGATTCAGAAATCTAAGGAATCAAAGAATGTAATCAATAACATATGTTTAAATATAAGGAAAATAAAAATACAATATAAAATAATGAATTTTGGAAAAGTTTGTGTGGTATTCAGTCACCTCATCAGCTAGCACTTCATTGGACTTCATTGCAGTGAGCCAGAAATTTGGTACACCTTTATCTGTGTGTATCAAAATTCAAAAGTGTCTTTAATGTTTAGATGTTTGTCAAAACAAAAGTACAATAGGAAACTTCTATTGATAAAAATAAAAAAAATGTTACCTCCCTTTGACTCATTATTTTCCTTATCCACCAAATTATCATCTGAAACACCTTCAACTTCAGTCAAACCATTGACTATTTCATATCTCTGTAAGTGAACAAGATTTAATCATCGGTGTGCCTTTTTTTCTTTAATATAGAAAGAATATAGAAAAAGTCAGGTAAAGAAGGTTTTTTCTTTATTTTTCCCTTCTTTTGTCTCAGATACTTTAAAACATCCAGATACCACTTGATGGAAAAAATAAAGAATCTTGAGAGCATATTGAAAGCTTGTAAAGTGATTACCAAACAAAAATGAAAAAAAAAAAAGATAAAATGATTATGGATACCTTAGAATATAATGGCTCATACAACTTCATATACTTTGCTTCCAGTTCTGCCTTTTCTTCAAGATACTTAGCCTCCAGCTCATCATATCGACTCTGTATGAAGGAAGGTTTGTAAGAATGCATCATTACCTCAACTTACACTGGACTTAAGTTTTCGTTTTGGTGCATTTTCAATATAATGATGTTTCTATTTTAGTTCTCAAATTCATCAGTTGTGAAAATTCAAGAGAAATGTAATCCATAGAAGTTAATTGCAAAAACAAGGAATAAACAGCCTTGAAGTTTAGGTTATGGATATGATCATATGAACTGAAAACAGATCAAACAAATGCAGTGCAATAAACACATAGATTCAAGTCAAACCTGAAGATCCTTAAGAACACCAACACGCTGCCTAACTTTGGATGAAAGAGTGTCCAAGAAATCAGGATGTTTTCCAGTCAAATTCTCAAGCTTATTCTGTACAAAAGAGCAAATCAAGACATTGAGAAACATAGAAGTACATACATAAACACATCCATCCAAACAAAATGAAAATTCAAAACAAATCCGATTAAATCTGTTATCTGATTAATTTTAGAGTTCGCTTACCTTCAGGACGTTAACAAGTCCAGCACGATCCTCATCAGTAAAAGCTACAAAACAAAAAATAGAATAATAAAAAATCGGTAACGAATGAAACACGAAGAGAGTTGAGGATTAAGAAGTACCAGAAGTAGCAGAAGGGAGAGCGGAGCTAAGATCGGCCATATTGAACTGATCTTCTTGATTACTACTCATTGCAATCGATCTTCCGAGTGCAATTGAATTCTACAAGGAGTAATATGGGGGAGGGAAGAACAAACTAAAACCCTAATAATGTACAGGGAGATCGGGGTAGGAGATGACCCTAGTGAACTGGCGAAGTACCTTTTCTCTGCTGTATTGTGTCTTTCTTTGCTGGAAGAAGCGTAACCGACCAAAGGAGGGAACAGTTTTATTGGCCGTTTTGAGGGACAATAACTTTCAACTCTCTCCTCGTTCCGTCAAAGGAAATATACTTACAAGTATTATATTATATTGTCTCGTTTTAAAATTATTTAGTAAAATATATAAATTAAGAAAACATTAATTAACATTAATTTTATTAAATAAAATAACAGTCTTATCTTTTTGTTATATTTAATTTCATTATAATTGAAATTAATTACATGGTAGTTTAGCCAATAAAGGATATTTTTGTAAAATGATATTTATTTTTAAAACTGGACTATTATTTTGAAACAAATCAAAAAAGAAACATGGACTATTAATACGAGACAGTGGGAATATATTACAAAGACATGACTCGCCACAGTTTGAAAAAACTTGAGACTAGACATTACCACCAAATCACATCTAACGTTATTTAGAACCTTTTATATATATATATATATATATATATATATATATATATATATATATATATATATATATATATATATATAGAGAGAGAGAGAGAGAGAGAAAGAGAGAGAACTAAGCTCAATTTAGAAAATAAAAAAGATTGAGAATGGGGGAATCATTCTCAGTCACTCATTTATTTTTGCCGCAAAAGCATCTGTCGTACCAGCAGAAATGGGAAATGAATACACATGTGTTTTCCAACAAAACATGTTTCCTTAAAATATGCTAATCATTACCTTAATATATACAAAAACATAGTTTTTTTTCGTTTTTTTAATTTTTAAGAAACTATTTTTATCAAAAAATGATTTTAAATATACCAAAATTCATGATTTTTTATTCTCTACAAATAGACATCCATATTTATATAGTTTTAAGATAAAATAAAAAAATTTATTTTTTTATATTTTCAGCTATCGTTATTTATAAGTGAATCAAAATGCATCAGATTTTTAGTACAGCACATTCGTTATTCACTTATGAATAAAAAAATATGATTAATTTTTTTTACAGATTAAGTATCATTCATATATAAATATAACATATAATAAACTCTTTACAGCTTACATCAACTCTCGTCACATGTTATATTCACATATGAATAAAACGTGTATTGACTTTCCTCACAAGTTATATTTATATACGAAGAACACTTGTATCATAATTTTGTTACAGTTCATTTGTTATTCCTATATGAATAAGTAGTTCAAATTTTCAAAATACTTCAATTTTTATAACATACTTAAAATAAACCATAATTTATCAGAAATTCCGCAATACATACCATAAAAACTATTTCAGACAAACGAAACCCTTGGGGTTTGTGACTTCCTTGCTATGCGTACGAGTCCTGTTTATATATGAATAACAAATGGATTGTAACAAAAATCTTAGAAATGTTTTATTAATATATGAATATAACATATGACGACAATTAATACACGTTTTATTCATATTTAAATATAACATGTGACGAAAGATGACGTAAAAAAAAATATTTTACGTAAGAAAACTTTATAACGTGTTATATTCATATATAAACGACACTTAAACTGTAAAAAAGTTAAGCATGTGTTTTATTCATAAGTGAATAACGAATGTAGTGTAATAAAAATCTGATGTGTTTTTATTCACTTATGAATAACGATAGCTGAAACTCTAAAAAAAAATTATTTTATCTTAAAACTATATCAATATAGATGTCTATTTATAGAGAATAAAAAATTATGAATTTTGATATATTTAAATAAATTTTTGATAAAAATAGCATTCTAAAAATAAAAAAAAAGCAAAAAAAAAAATATGTTTTTGTTTATTTTAAGGTAATGATTAGCATACTTTAAGGAAACATGTTTGGTTGGAAAAACACATGTGTATCCGTTACCCATTCCGCCGGTACGCCTAAGTGTTTTGCGTCAAAATAAATGTGTGGCTGAGAATGATTCCCTCATTCTCAACCCTTTTTTTTTCTCAATTGAACTCTCCTATATATATATATATATATATATATATATATATATATATATATATATATATATATATATATATATATATCTTAACCTTTAAAGTGTTATATTTGTCTAAATTTATTATTTAAACATTTTTTAAAATCTTTTAATCATTTTTCATATTATATATTTATTTTAATTTAAAAATAGAATACTAATCGACCAATTTTCCCTTCTATACTAAAAGTCTAAAAATCATCAACTATATTGATTGAATTACCTCGAGTAGCCTTGCCCTTTCTTGAGTTTCTTGAGTGATCAGGAGATCAAGTCTTTCAAAAATAGGAACAACGGTGATAAGACCTTGTTCGAGATGGTCAAACTCCATAGAAAATTCAAAAAGAGAAGGAAGGGAATTCGATCAATTTTCGATAATATTTCCTCAATGCAAATTTATTCTACTCTAGCAACATTATTCCTATAAAATATAAATTTAAACGTTAATAGTACCTTTTAGTTCTAAATAATAATAATAAATTGCTAAAATATTAAGATATATATATATATATATATATATATATATATATATATATATATATATATATATATATATATAAAATACTCATATCACGCTATGATTCTGTTTTTAAGAATTGTTGAGATGAGATCGGTCATTATTTTTTTTTTATAGTGGGGGTAGCGATATGGTTTCACATTTATTGGAGGTGTGTTGGGAAGGAGAGGGATTCAATGGTCGTGGGGCGATGAGGTGGAAGGTGAGTGGGTGTCTCGAAAAAGTGTTTAAATTCTTGAAGTAATTTGTAGATATGGGGGTTTGTGATGTTTGGGGCTTCCGTGGTGGGTGGTTCAAAAGATAAGGGCATGCATGGAATCTATGGAGTTTTTGTGTAATATGTGGTGGAGGTTGATGGCTGTTGTGGGGGTGGCGGTTGGTTCTCCAACTAGGTTGATTTCTTTGTTGTTGTGGCGGAATGTAAGTTGTGGGACTGAGACATCTGCTTTTAGTGTCCCAATGATCCTAACCATTAGAGGCCTAAGACCATGTCGGCTCCTTCAAAAGGTAGCACAAAGAATGGAATTTGAAACGAGGTTTCTTGGAGACCAAGGTGAACATCTGGCAAAACCCATGGCAGTGAATATAGGTATCGTTCCCGATTATAACCGAAAAGCTTGGAATCGAAGTAGTAGCTAATTTGAGAAACGTGTTGGTGTTGCACTAAGTTATGTGTGTTGCCACAGTCGATGAGGGTGGTCACGGGGTGACCGACTATGAACCCTATAACTCTTAAAGCACGGGGACATGAGGATCCAAGTAGTGCCACTTGTGACAAGGATATAAACTGTGGTGGTGCATCGGGAATGGTAGGGTCTGTGCTAGGCACAACATCAAGCGATTGGTAAGATGGGTCACCTGGTGTAGGCGAGGGCAGGTTAGTAGTGGTTTGTAGAGAGTCCTCGTTGTCGACAATGGTTAGAAATTGTTATGGATTGCATTTATGGTCGGGATGGTATTTCTCAGGGCAACGAAAACAAATGTCGACAACTCTTCGTTGTTGTAGTGCCTCCGCGGATAAACGAGTAAAGGGTATAGATTGATTTGGTTTGGTGGGTGTAGGTATGACTCATATTGTCGTGGTTGTGACCGGTGTAGTGGTTAAGGTGGATGAGCTGGAAGTGATTGGTGGTGGTAGTGGACGGTATGGAGTAGAGTAGCTAGAGCGGTAGCGGTTATCGTAGTGTTTGTCTTCAATTAGTTTGGCCAACCCTATTTATTGTGTGATTGTCATAAGTGGAAGGCCCAAAATGAGTTTCCAGGGCTCGAGTGAAAGCTTCCCAGGAGGTGAGAAGATTGTTGTTGGACAGGTATTTATACCAACTCAATGTGTTATCTGAAAGGAAAAAAGCGACCACGTTTAGGCGTGATTAGGGTTGGATGTTCTAGAAGGAGAAATATTGGTCGGCTTGGAAGAGCCAGTCCAACGGGTTTGAGCCAATAAAGGTTGAGTGGGTGATTTTTGGGGGTCGAGATTGTGTGTCATTGATGGATTGTTTGAATTCTGATTTGGGAAAGGAGTTACAGGAGGGCGAGTTTTCTGAAGGTTTAATGACGGTGGATAACATGACATTAGTTTGTTCATATTGGTCTGTTAATTGCTTCATGATAATGTCTAGCTGGGATTGGGTGGTTGATTGGTTGTTGTTGGAGGAGGTGAAGAGGTGGGTTACTTTATCCACCATGACAGCCATTGAAGCTTCAACGGATGGTGGGGAAGACAAAGTATCAAGCTTTGGAGGCATGGTTTGAGGAAGAAAACTGAAAGAACCAAACTGATAAGACCTTGTTCGAGAGGTTCAATCTCCACATATAATTCAAGAATAGAATGAAGGGAACTGCAACAATTTTCAATAATATTTCCTCAATAGAAATTACAACTAAATACTAAAAAGATTTTCTATCATACTTCCCTGAAAACAGGAACTAAATAAACATGGTTGTGACTTATTCTAAATTAACTTAGTGGGTCCTAAACTAATGCATGCACGAACATCACGTGTAGAAAAATATTGGAATAGTAGCTTAGCTTCCAAGTCTTATGTTAGTCAAGGTAACGGGTGGGTTGTCAGGTCTCTCTCTTGGGTCGGTTATGGGTCATACTCGTATCAGACAACCAAAATTTATCTCCCATTCCTCGTCAACATTCATCTTATCATCTTTTCTATCTTGTCTACACCTCAAGACAGTTTTCGTCATCTTCAGGTTTGGTTTTACATATTCATTACAAGTAGCTTCGTTTGATTCTAATTATCTAGGGTTTCCATATGACGGTAATGGTGGTTGGGGTTTCGAGAGATGATATCAGGCATAGTGTACATAGATTTTTAGTTCTTTGAGCATGTAACAAAAAGTCAAATAAGGGAGTTAGTTAGCCAAGTCATGGGTTTATCCTGTAGAGTTATTGGATAAGACGGTAGATTTTATTTTTATTTTTATTTTGTTTTGCCAAAAAGCACATAATCTTTCTTAAAGATCCCATCTTGATGAATAATTCATAACATCATCTATACGTACACATTGGAGGCTATTGAAGTTGATCAACAGACACAAATGGTGGCTAAGCTTGATGGTTTAATCATAAAATGTGTTCATGATCAACATGGTAATCATGTAATCCAAAAATGTATTGAATGTGTATATGTGTTATGTGTGTGTGTTTTCTGTTGTATGTGTATATGATGTTTTAATTTCTATGTAATTTCTCTAGCCTCACCTCAAGCATAGGTTTAGATCAGATGCATATGGCTTTTTATGTTAGTTGAAGTAATGAATAATTTCCCCTAAATTAACTTACCTGGTGGTTTTTAATGTTGTTGGGTGTGGGCAACATGTTATTTCATGTTATCATACCCAAAAGGTGCCACATCATCATCCTAGTCATACATGGGTGTTATAACACCCAAGGTAGAAATGGGCAACACCAAATAACATGTGACAACACCTCTTATTTTCTATTTTATTTTTAATTTTTTTTATGTTTTTAAATTCTATATTTCCAATTTTTTATTTATGTCATAATATTTATAATTATCATATAAATTAAATCATAAATTAAAAATAACATTTAAAAAGTAAAAATAAAATTTTAATAAATCCTAAATTAAAAACAACATTAAAAAATACAACAAAGGACAAAAACATTTAAAACCTAAAAACCAAAAAAAAAAACGATTAGAAAATTTACATTTTTGACCTAAATTATTAATCTTCAGTACCATCGTAGATATGATCTGCCATGTCTTCTCGAAGTTGCTTGTGTTTTCGTTGGTCTTGAATATCAACGACTCTATGTAAGTATTTTGCTGTTCTAGGTTGAAATTGAATGTGTCTTGGTTCCGTAGACGAATACTCCGCAATGTTTTGTCCTTTATCTTCAATCACCATGTTATGCATTATGATACATGCTTACATAATATCTCGTAGAGTGTCCAACTCATATGGTCATGCCGCATGTTCAACTATGTGCCATTTTGTTTTTAGAACTCCGGAAGCACGTTCCACATCCTTACGTGCTCCTTCTTGTCTTTCTTGAAAAATTTGTCTCTTGGTTATATCGGGTGTCGAAAGGCCTTCACAAACGTGGAATATGATGGATATATTCCATCCGTGAGTTAATACCCAAACTTATACTCATGGCCATTTACTGTGAAAGGAGCATTCGATGCCTTTCCTGTCAATAGGTCCTGAAATATTGGTGGCTGATCAAGAACGTTTACGTCGTTGTTAGAACCCGCAACTCCAAAAAAAGCATGCAAAATCCATAAGTCTTGTGAAGTAACAACCTCTAATACCAACGAAGGCGATCCAAGATGACCACTTGTGTATTGACCTTTCCACGCCACATGACAATTTCTCCATATCCACTTTGTGCAATCAATGCTTCCAAGCATAACTGGAAAACCATGTCGTTCTTCATGCACCGCATATAGTTGTTGCATGTCATTCAATGAAGATTTGCGCAAGTGTTTGTCACCGAAGGTTTCGATAACACCTCTCGCCAATCTATACAAACTTTCTCGTGCAGTTCGCTCTGACATTCTCATATAGTCATCAATGGAATCGGGCGACTCCCCATAGCCATAAGCTTGCAGCAGCACATTTTTGCAACCCTATAAAACTTTGTTTACCTCTCGCATCATACCTCATTTGGAAAAATTCATAACTAAACATATATTTAATTTGTAAAAAATGTGTACTTATGTTATCTGAAAAACAATTATCTAAAAAGTATATTTATGTCATCTAAAAAACATTTATCTAAAAAGTGTATTTACGATACCTGCTTTCCAATGCATTGACTATCCGTTGAAACACATTTTTTCGCAAACGAAACCTTCTTTTGAAATCGCTAGGTTGGTAGACACAATTATCCACAAAATAATCGTGTACTAGATGTCTATGCCCTTCTTCACGGTCTCTGTTCGAAGCCGCACGCCTTGTCAGTAGTGGAGCTGGCTCTGGCGGTAACATGTTCATAGAATATTGATACATCATACTCACGAATATATCACCGTCGTCGTTATCAACGTTGTATGGATGAAACATATCAAAATAATCCATTTTTTGTAAATAGAAAAAGATAAAAGATAATGAACTTGATAGAAATGTGTATTTGAGAGAATTTGTTGAATTTTGTTTGTAAAATTTTGAAGTTAAAATGTGTATATATATTGGAATTAAAATGATTTTTTTTAAATTCGTGACCGTTCCACAACGGTTGAAAAATAGACTGTCAATATATATGTGTGTTTCGTCCCGTTGCCACACAAACGCCAAATAACGCAACGCCTAATAACGGTGACCGGGGGCGG